AAAAATTCGGCCAAAAAAAAAAACGACAGTGGTACCCCTTACGTTTTTTTTTGGGCGAAAAATTTAGTTTCTCCAATCTTCCCAAAACTCTGGATTCTGATAGAGGGGCATGAGACTTAGACCTGAGTGCAAAAATGGAGGCTCTAGCCCCTTCCAGAGCTGAGATATCGAAACTCAAAAATTCGGCCCGAAAAAAAAACGACAGTGGTACCCCTTACGTTTTTTTTTGGGCGAAAAATTAAGTTTCTCCAATCTTCCCAAAACTCTGGATTCTGATAGAGGGCCATGAGACTTAGACCTGAGTGCAAAAATGGAGGCTCTAGCCCTTCCAGAGCTGAGATATCGAAACTCAAAAATTCGGCCCGAAAAAAAAAAACGACAGTGGTACCCCTTACGTTTTTTTTTTTTGGGCGAAAAATTAAGTTTCTCCAATCTTCCCAAAACTCTGGATTCTGATAGAGGGCCATGAGACTTAGACCTGAGTGCAAAAATGGAGGCTCTAGCCCTTCCAGAGCTGAGATATCGAAACTCAAAAATTCGGCCCGAAAAAAAAAACGACAGTGGTACCCCTTACGTTTTTTTTTTTTGGGCGAAAAATTAAGTTTCTCCAATCTTCCAAAACTCTGGATTCTGATAGAGGGCCATGAGACTTAGACCTGAGTGCAAAAATGGAGGCTCTAGCCCCTTCCAGAGCTGAGATATCGAAACTCAAAAATTCGGCCCGAAAAAAAACGACAGTGGTACCCCTTACGTTTTTTTTTTTCGGGCGAAAAATTAAGTTTCTCCAATCTTCCCAAAACTCTGGATTCTGATAGAGGGCCATGAGACTTAGACCTGAGTGCAAAAATGGAGGCTCTAGCCCCTTCCAGAGCTGAGATATCGAAACTCAAAAATTCGGCCAAAAAAAAAAACGACAGTGGTACCCCTTACGTTTTTTTTGGGGCGAAAAATTAAGTTTCTCCAATCTTCCAAAACTCTGGATTCTGATAGAGGGCCATGAGACTTAGACCTGAGTGCAAAAATGGAGGCTCTAGCCCCTTCCAGAGCTGAGATATCGAAACTCAAAAATTCGGCCCAAAAAAAAAACGACAGTGGTACCCCTTACGTTTTTTTTTTTGGGCGAAAAATTAAGTTTCTCCAATCTTCCCAAAACTCTGGATTCTGATAGAGGGCCATGAGACTTAGACCTGAGTGCAAAAATGGAGGCTCTAGCCCCTTCCAGAGCTGAGATATCGAAACTCAAAAATTCGGCCCGAAAAAAAAAAACGACAGTGGTACCCCTTACGTTTTTTTTTTTGGGCGAAAAATTAAGTTTCTCCAATCTTCCCAAACTCTGGATTCTGATAGAGGGCCATGAGACTTAGACCTGAGTGCAAAAATGGAGGCTCTAGCCCCTTCCAGAGCTGAGATATCGAAACTCAAAAATTCGGCCCGAAAAAAAAACGACAGTGGTACCCCTTACGTTTTTTTTTTTCGGGCGAAAAATTAAGTTTCTCCAATCTTCCCAAAACTCTGGATTCTGATAGAGGGCCATGAGACTTAGACCTGAGTGCAAAAATGGAGGCTCTAGCCCCTTCCAGAGCTGAGATATCGAAACTCAAAAATTCGGCCCGAAAAAAAAACGACAGTGGTACCCCTTACGTTTTTTTTTTTCGGGCGAAAAATTAAGTTTCTCCAATCTTCCAAAACTCTGGATTCTGATAGAGGGCCATGAGACTTAGACCTGAGTGCAAAAATGGAGGCTCTAGCCCTTCCAGAGCTGAGATATCGAAACTCAAAAATTCGGCCCGAAAAAAAAACGACAGTGGTACCCCTTACGTTTTTTTTTTTTCGGGCGAAAAATTAAGTTTCTCCAATCTTCCCAAAACTCTGGATTCTGATAGAGGGCCATGAGACTTAGACCTGAGTGCAAAAATGGAGGCTCTAGCCCCTTCCAGAGCTGAGATATCGAAACTCAAAAATTCGGCCCGAAAAAAAAAACGACAGTGGTACCCCTTACGTTTTTTTTTTTTCGGGCGAAAAATTAAGTTTCTCCAATCTTCCCAAAACTCTGGATTCTGATAGAGGGCCATGAGACTTAGACCTGAGTGCAAAAATGGAGGCTCTAGCCCCTTCCAGAGCTGAGATATCGAAACTCAAAAATTCGGCCCAAAAAAAAAAACGACAGTGGTACCCCTTACGTTTTTTTTTTTCGGCGAAAAATTAAGTTTCTCCAATCTTCCCAAACTCTGGATTCTGATAGAGGGCCATGAGACTTAGACCTGAGTGCAAAAATGGAGGCTCTAGCCCCTTCCAGAGCTGAGATATCGAAACTCAAAAATTCGGCCGAAAAAAAAAAACGACAGTGGTACCCCTTACGTTTTTTTTTTTTGGGCGAAAAATTAAGTTTCCCCAATCTTCCCAAAACTCTGGATTCTGATAGAGGGCCATGCGACTTAGACCTGAGTGCAAAAATGGAGGCTCTAGCCCCTTCCAGAGCTGAGATATCGAAACTCAAATATTCGGCCCGAAAAAAAAACGACAGTGGTACCCCTTACGTTTTTTTTTTTCGGGCGAAAAATTAAGTTTCTCCAATCTTCCCAAAACTCTGGATTCTGATAGAGGGCCATGAGACTTAGACCTGAGTGCAAAAATGGAGGCTCTAGCCCCTTCCAGAGCTGAGATATCGAAACTCAAAAATTCAGCCCAAAAAAAAAAAACGACGGTGGTACCCCTTACGGTTTTTTTTTCGGGCGAAAAATTAAGTTTCTCCAATCTTCCCAAAACTCTGGGTTCTGATAGAGGGGCATGAGATTTAGACCTGAGTGCAAAAATGGAGGCTCTAGCCCCTTCCAGAGCTGAGATATCGAAACTCAAAAATTCGGCCCGAAAAAAAAACGACAGTGGTACCCCTTACGTTTTTTTTTGGGGAGAAAAATTAAGTTTCTCCAATCTTCCCAAAACTCTGGATTCTGATAGAGGGCCATGAGACTTAGACCTGAGTGCAAAAATGGAGGCTCTAGCCCCTTCCAGAGCTGAGATATCGAAACTCAAAAATTCAGCCCAAAAAAAAAAACGACAGTGGTACCCCTTACGTTTTTTTTTTTCGGGCGAAAAATTTAGTTTCTCCAATCTTCCCAAAACTCTGGATTCTGATAGAGGGCCATGAGACTTAGACCTGAGTGCAAAATGGAGGCTCTAGCCCCTTCCAGAGCTGAGATATCGAAACTCAAAAATTCGGCCCGAAAAAAAAACGACAGTGGTACCCCTTACGTTTTTTTTTTTTTCGGCGAAAAATTAAGTTTCTCCAATCTTCCCAAAACTCTGGATTCTGATAGAGGGCCACGAGACTTAGACCTGAGTGCAAAAATGAAGGCTCTAGCCCCTTCCAGAGCTGAGATATCGAAACTCAACAATTCGGCCCGAAAAAAAAACGACAGTGGTACCCCTTATGTTTTTTTTTTCGGGCGAAAAATTAAGTTTCTCCAATCTTCCCAAAACTCTGGATTCTGATAGAGGGCCACGAGACTTAGACCTGAGTGCAAAAATGAAGGCTCTAGCCCCTTCCAGAGCTGAGATATCGAAACTCAACAATTCGGCCCGAAAAAAAAACGACAGTGGTACCCCTTACGTTTTTTTTTTTTGGGCGAAAAATTAAGTTTCTCCAATCTTCCAAAACTCTGGATTCTGATAGAGGGCCATGAGACTTAGACCTGAGTGCAAAAATGGAGGCTCTAGCCCCTTCCAGAGCTGAGATATCGAAACTCAAATATTCGGCCCGAAAAAAAAAAACGACAGTGGTACCCCTTACGTTTTTTTTTTCGGGCGAAAAATTAAGTTTCTCCAATCTTCCCAAAACTCTGGATTCTGATAGAGGGCCATGAGACTTAGACCTGAGTGCAAAAGTGGAGGCTCTAGCCCCTTCCAGAGCTGAGATATCGAAACTCAAAAATTCGGCCCGAAAAAAAAACGACTGTGGTACCCCTTATGTTTTTTTTTTTTTCGGGCGAAAAATTAAGCTTCTGCAATCTTCCCAAAACTTTGGATTCTGATAGAGGCTAATGAGACTTAGACCTGAGTGCAAAAATGGAGGCTCTAGCCCCTTCCAGAGCTAAGATATCGAAACTCAAAAATTTGGCGCGAAAAATTAAGTTTCTCCAATCTTCCCAAAACTCTGGATTCTGATAGAGGGCCACGAGACTTAGACCTGAGTGCAAAAATGGAGGCTCTAGCCCCTTCCAGAGCTGAGATATCGAAACTCAAAATTTCGGCCCGAAAAAAAAAAAACGACAGTGGTACCACTTACGGTTTTTTTTTTCAGGCGAAAAATTAAGTTTCTCCAATCTTCTCAAAACTCTGAAGTCTGATAGAGGGCCATGAAACTTAGACCTGAGTGCAAAAATGGAGGCTCTAGCCCCTTCCAGAGCTGAGAAATCGAAACTCAAAAATTAAGTTTCTCCAATCTTCCCAAAACTCTGGATTCTGATAGAGGGCCATGAGACTTAGACCTGAGTGCAAAAATGGAGGCTCTAGACCCTTCCAGAGCCGAGATATGGACATCTCACGTAGCATTTATGCCATTATAAATATCTCAATATCTCAGCTCTGGAAGGGGCTAGAGCCTCCATTTTTGCACTCAGGTCTAAGTCTCTTGGCCCTCTATCAGAATCCAGAGATTCAAGAAGATCAGAGAAACTCAAAATTTCGACCCGAAAAAAAAAAAACGACAGTGTTACCCCTGTCGTTTTTTTTTTTGGTGCGAAAAATAAGTTTCTCCAATCTTCTTGAAAATCTGGATTCTGATAAAGGGCCATGGACTTAGACCTCAGTGCAAAAATGGAGGCTCTAGACCCTTCCAGAGCCGAGATATGGACATCTCACGTAGCATTTATGCCATTATAAAAATATTGGGTTCATGGACCCACTTCCCTGTTGTGCTTGTTTTCATTCCTTTCAAACATGAAATCTGTTGCTAGCTACTACTAAGATCTATAAGGACTGACATATCTCTTGTTGTGCAGGTGATCGTGTACGATCAAGGGCAGGTGATTGAAAGCCCTTCATTCATGGGCAGGGTGGGCTTTGCTGGCATACCCTGGAGCGCAGACATCATATTGAATTCCACGTGGGTGTCCGACGCTGGAGTCTATCGCTGTGTGGTCAGCAACCCACCTGAGACAGGAGACCCTGGAATAGGAGAGCTCAGCCTCACTGTTCTGGGTATCACACATCACATGGCAACCATCTATCTATCTACCCAATTTATACACTGAAAAATTAACATAAATATAAAATTGGTTTCTATTAAGTTACATTTTAATGCATTTCTTCCCATACCATTAGAAGTATTATTGGTTCATTTCTTTAATTGTAATCAAATTTGATTTATATTAATCAACATTTGCATATATTTAATCTAAAGTAATGTATAGTAATATATTACCAACAAACATTTAAAAAAAATATATATATATATATTATATTTATTGATTTATTTTAATCTAATTTTTGTTGCTTATTTTAATCTTATCAATTACTTATTTTATTAAATTATTTGTTAGTTTATAAAAAAGTAAACAGGATGACGCTTGGCATCCCCTTTCCGAAGTGCGCTTAGGGTGCAACAACGGCGTTTGGAATTTGACCTAGATTCTTTGTTTTGCATTGCCGCCTTGAACTTGTCAACGCGGCATGTGTGGTGTAAGCCATTTCATCAGTTCTGTGCACAAATACTCTAATATAAGTCTTAAATACTGTAAAATCTTAAATACTCATATATTTGTGCATATATATGGACAATACAGACAATATTATAGGCTACTTTGATACAGTGAAGATTTTGCAGTGTTATTTTACGTTTTACATTTAATTTCTGTACCGTACCTAAAAACCTGAAAAACTTCAAGCACCTAAAGGAGTAGTTCACTTTTAAAAAACTTTTGCTGATAATTTACTCACCAAGAAAAAGATTTGTTCATTTTTATGAACGAGTTCGAACAGGAGTCACAAACGTGCGTCACAGAACAGAGCAAGGTGACCGTAACTTTTTAAAGTTGGTACGTTGGTCTAATTTGATACCAAACAGTAAGACCGATTACCCCTAACTAACTGCAAGTGGTCATAGTCATACTAGTTTTTACTAGACACTGTCTTAACATAATGGCCATGTTTATGCAAGTGGCCCCAGGTATAACTCTGTGTGTGTGTGTGTGTGCAGCACCCCCATCACTCCCTGTTTGTCTATGGGAAGGAGACACAGATGCTGGGGGCAATGTGAGACTGTCCTGTGGGGTGGTGGAGGGCCTTCCCACTCCACAGGTGATCTGGGAGAAGCTAGAACCAGATAAGACAACACTGCCAGTGAACATGGATGGTAAAACATTTTCATACAGGTTTTTGGAAAGCATCAGACATGCAGAAACCGTTTCACACCCTTATGTGTCGCAGATGACATGACGGGTTCTGCGCACATTACCAATGTGTCTGCGCAAACCTCGGGCCTTTACCGCTGCTCAGTGACCAACCCACTGGGAACTCAGCACTGCTACATTAACCTGTCTGTGTACACACGTAAGTCTTTCTATACTTTATGATTCCTTTATGGTGCTTTTGCATCCTTATTCGTTGTGATTGCACATATAAGGACCAGAACAGTTTTCAAAACTGGTTTTGTGTTCTGTGGAAGAAAACGACATGACACGACGACTTTTTTTCCTGACCCTACAGCTCCAGATAATTCCCCAGGCATCCTGCAGGGGGTGATGTTGAGTCTCTCTATGGCCCTGCTCTTGCTGGCTCTGATGGTGCTGGTGCTGTGGCTCCACCGTTCGGCACAGGAGAGCAAATGGAGGATCAGCCATGAGGACGAGTGCTATAATGAAATCAAATACACACCCTCTCTCATTAAACGCTCCTTTGTCTGAGACGAGGACAGGAAGTCACAGCTCGATCCTCTCTGCACCAATATCAATGTAAAGCTTCTGTCAGACAAAAGCAAAAGAAAGATCATACTTCAGTGCTTAATTGCTTTAGTCAAAAAGACTACTGTAAACGAGTTGCTTTGTTTTCATGTGGTAATCAACAGCATGCCACTAAAATAGATCTTAATTTGCATTTAACCCACCATATTACTGCTGGTTTTAAACTGTGGAGTCTCAAGACAATCAAGGTACTATAAATCAATGTAAGTTTTGAGTTTGGTCCTCAGGTAGAGGTGTATATTCTCTGTAGAGGGACATTCTTTTCAGACAATGGTTTATTGTAACTATTGCATTTTGGATTTGGAATTAAACCTCCAATTTAACTACAATAAAAATGTAGATACATGCACCTTGTTCTGAGCTAATCCTCTCCAATGATTCCTTGAGATATTATTACAATTTAAAATAACTATTTCTATTTTAATACAACGTACTTTCTTGTGGTGGCAAAGCTGATTTTTTTTTTTTTTAGCAGCCATTAGCCAAATGTTTTTATTTTATTTTATTTTTGTAATATCTCACAGTTTTAATGTATTAAATAGTATTTTGATCATATAAAAATACTATGGACCTCGAACATTTAAATGGCAATGTGTATTGTATAAATAGGCAATTTATTAAATTGCTACAATTGGCCTTATGCACAGCTGCACTACTTCCTGAACTTAAGCCAGCTCCTTGTTTCCTGTCTGCTATTATTGGCCAAGCTTGATTAATTCAAGTGTGTCTAATTCAGATGTGCCTGACCTCAGTAGTCACGGCAACAATAATCAATCAAGTTGACCAATAATGGCAGACAGGAAACAAGGAGCTGGCTTAAGTTCAGAAAGTAGTGCAGCTGTGCAAAAGGCCAATTAATTTATAAATTAAAATTAACTAAATAGCTTATTGCTGAAATTACTCACTTGCAATGCTATCGATCTAAATCAGCATTAATAGAACTTGATTTCCTTTATAGTTTGTGAATTGATTTTACCACCCTCTGCACTTTTCCACTACGCAGTACCAGCTCCGGTCACCTTTGTTTGGTTTTTCACTGTGTAAAAGTTGTACCTGTACTTTTTTTGTATCACCTCCGGCGAGGTTCTGAGCGAGCTAAGGCGATACTAAAATGTGACGTGAAAACAATGCCGAGTGCTGATAGGTCAGAGAGAATTGTCACTATTCACTGCATCATCATTGCACGCGTCAGATGGAGTATCCAGAATAACCCCGCTATTTTTAAATATTTTGGCCAGAGATAGTTACTAAACTTACTAGTATTATTATTATGGCAACTCGGAAGAATACGCCGTGGTCAAACGAGGAATTGCAGACTTTCCTTTGTTTGGTTGCCGATGAAAGGATCCACGCAAGAGCTTGATGGGGCAACGAGGAACGAAAGGCGTCGCTATGACGTCAGGGCGGGTACTATTTGTGGTGGTGATCTGCAATGGAAATCACAGCGAAAAGCGAGGCGAGCCGAGTACTGGTACTGGAAAAGCGCAGAAGAAATCTAAGGGACCAAAGACATGAACAAAATGACTGTTTTGCAAACAATAACACAAAAAAGCTTTAATTTAAATAGGAGGGGGAAAAAGAAAAATCACATAAAAAACTGTACATAACTTTGAATATTGAATAACAGTTTTTAAATAAAACAACCCCCAATGTAACTAAAAAAAAAAAAAAAAAAAATTTACAGGATGGTGTACTATTTTACAATAGTTGTGCAAAAGAAGTATTAACTGATTCAATTCCCCAGACTTCATGAATCTATGTCGAGAGAGAGGGAGTCGGACCCCTCCGCAAGCACAGATACACCGAAGCGTGACTCTCCTAAGACTCAAAGTAGTGTCCTCCATTGAAAAATAACCAGAAATCCAATAATAATAAAATAGATTTATATATATTTTTAAATATATTTATATACAAAACATGCTGTACATGTATGGCAGAGATTGGTTAGATCCCTTTTAAATCACTGACACCCAAGACTATCCAGTAACTTGTGCTTTCTCCCAGTAAGAGAAGTACTCCCTGTTGCTTTGGAAAAGTTACCCTAAAGATGAGAGTAATGGTCCTGATGGAAAGAGAGAAAGAGTTTGATCGGCCTCGAACCAGACGCTCAATAGATATTAAAGTTTACCACAAGAGGCTTTGAATGAGCCGAGTTTGCTTGGCAGACTTGAAAAGACCTAGAGGGCGTGACTAGGCTTCATGCTTAGTGTTCAAACAACGTGTGATATGGTCTGTGATGGGCAGAGACTAAATATACTTTCAGTGTTATAAACCCATTAACAATCGGTGGTTTAAGTGAGTATGAAAACGTGAGCATGATCAAATCGGTGCAAACTGCCTCTAGTGGCACTAAACAAAGCTAGAGACTAACGTCACGTCAAAACTTGATATTGATCGGACCGAATCGCCTGTTTCGAATGCGTCAGCGTTGTAAAATGAAGGGCCGCTCAGTAGAGAAACACTTCGATTGCTATTTTGCATGAAACCGCATTTCTCGGAGGAAATCTCTAGCAAAAATCCTTCTCTTCCACCTGAAACCCAGTCAAATCCTAAGGCACCATTTTCTCATGGCGGCCCCCACATGCAGACTCTCAAACCATTTCCTTCAACGCAAAGCTTTTTCCAGAGCACAGCTCAGCCGTGTCAATCATTTTAAGCTCGGAAATTATATATGGTGAAGAAGCATTGAACCGGCTTTCTGAATCTGAAAACCACTTTGAACAGCTCACGGGATATTCCAAGCTCCTTTACGTCGACATGCCGCAGCTATTCCAGGCTGATGTCAATGGTGTATTGTTTGACTGCGAGCATTTGATATGTTGGTTATTGTAGAGGCAGTGAGTGCTCTGCTTTCCAAAGCAGGCGGTCTGAGCTTCGTTCGCTCAACAGCAGATATATAATGACATCTACATTTCCAGTTGTATTACACACAGATAGGGAATTTGCAAATCGCAATCAGGTGGATTCAAGAATGGGGGGAAAGCTTACAGTTCACTCATGTCCAGTTAGTATCAGCACAATCGATAAAAAAACAGCCACTTCATCCATCTTCATTTGAGATCAGCAATCAAATAAATCTTTGTCTTATTGTTTTTATTCCCCCATCAAGTTCTTCCAACTAAAACGCTGGAGTGTAGAAGTCAAAGCAGTAGTTAGTTCTATTAGTACAAGAGGGGGTGGTGCAGTAGCAGTAGTATTGCAGAGAGGGAGGCGCTTGCAGTAGCAGAAAAAGCCTGACGGGAGGCCATGAAGCCCTCACGTGCTCTGGCCCACTACATCACCAGAGCCCATTTGGTAGGCAGCAGTTTAGGAATTAAGAAGGTAGTCTGATGTCCGGTGGGATGTGTAAAGAAATAAAAGAAAGAGGATTGGGAAAAAGACTGATGACTTCTATCCTGTCCCAGTTGTCCTACACTTCACCCCCAAAACTCAGGCCCTTCCATCCTCACCTGAGCTGGCTGTAAACTACGTAGGGAAGTGCGTATGAGAGCGAGTACATGTGTGTGTATTCAAGTCTTATCCCTGAAGCTCGCTGAAGAATGGTGGTGGTTGTGTCGTTTAAGAGCGTGAGGCTGTCTGATGGGTTAACGACGTGATCAAATGTCTTTTCTGGAATGTGTTCGCTATGAAATGATAACTCTGTGAGAGGGCATTCAAAATCGCTGACAGGACAGTGGCTGATTTGGTGGAAAGCTCTGGGCTTTGATCGGAGGCAGATTTAAAAGAAAAATCCTGTGCAATACAGCTGACGCAGAGGGGTTGTGGATGTTTAGCAATGGACTGGATGCTTGAGGACAAAAAAAAAACAAAAGCTTTAGAAGGTTTAAGGCTGCTACAGGAGTTCCCTTTTTGTTACTGCTGGTGGTACAGGTCACGGATTTGCTTTGATTAAATGACCTGAACCTCCTTTTTAAGAAGGAAAAAAAAATCCCTTAACATTGCACTGACTGTCCACTTTTTTGGCTTATGGCCCTGGAGGCCGAAACAGTAGCCAAAGAAGCTTAGGAGAGCTCAGTCCAGAGTTCATTACTTACACTGCACTCTTCTAGTGTGCGTATCTGGTGATGTGTTTAAGTACACTAGCGAGAAACATCCTAAAATATGAAAAACTGACCGAAGATGCTTTAATTCCTCCCAGCTCTCTCGCTCTCTGGATGGTGAGGATGACCATGGGCTAGTCTGATCCAAGCTGTACTTGTCGTGCAGTGAAGGCTCAGCGGAGGTGCTCAAGTAAAGGCAGTTCTGTAGATTCCTCCCGTGCACTGGGCGGGTCTGATGATGTAAGGGGCGTGGTCTCAGAGGGGACTACTGTGCCCACTGGATCCAGTGTTGGGCTGACATCAATGGGCAGGACAGGAAGGGGAGGCTGCGAAGGCTAGGAAGAGTAAAAAAATTTAATTAGTTAATTTTTATGTATATACACCAAAAGCTTCAGGTTGTAAAACATTTGAAAGAAGTCCCTTATGTACACCAAGGATGCATTTATTTGATAAGTGATTTAGTACGGAAGCAACGATACTTTTTTTATTGTCAAATTAAAAGCTACAGCTGTCAAGCCGAAATGCATAGATCTACACTTTTAACTGTTTTTAATTCATTTACCACAGTTAATTAAATGATTTTTTCAACACATGAATGCCTTGGAGTATTCCATCTTCATAATTTAATGTGTACCTCTACCAGCTTATCGAATGAGCACCAGTGGCTACGTAAAGACACCCGTGTAGCACTCTCTGCTTTTGTAGTTTTGTAAGATCTTTACGGTCGCTGGTGAAATTGAATGCGTCCTTGCTGAATAAGAGTATAATTTTTTTTTCAAAATGCTATTAATTCATTTGTAGGGTCTTGCAACATGTCATTTTACAACCTGTCATTAAAAAAAAAAACCAAGTCAACTGACTGATATTTAGGGTGCTTTGACACTAGCATTTTTGGTCCGCACCTGGGTTTGATTGACATCAGAAATCAGTTAGTTTGGCTGATGTGAACGCTGTTTTTCGAACTCGAGCGGGCACCCGCAAACCGTACCTGGTACAAATATGCTAAACACTGAAGCTTGACCATATGTCTGTAACGCACTTGAACAGACCTGGTCCTCGCATGTTACATACAGACATTTGATCTACTTTTCCTTTTAATGGTAGTTGGCAAACCTACGTGAGGGGGGTATATAGCGCCACTTACTGCATGATATTTGCCAAATAAAGCCAAGACCAGTCAGTAATAAAAAAAAGAAGCTCAATCTCCCCCAATGCGATCCTTGAGATCGGCTTGGGACACCGCTAGTCTTTACCTGTGTGCGTATGCTCTGTGATGCTGAACCATCCCCTTCCATTACAGCAGGTCCATTGAAT